GAGGAACCAGTGAGATGCAGCAGGACCAGCTTTCTAACGGGTGGTGTTTTCAGTGTGTTTAGGTCGGTATGAAGGAGTTCCTGGAGCATCTTCCACAGCGTCAGATCTCTGAACTGCTTCACAGAACTGAGCTGAAGAAACGAGCGCTGAGCTGCTGTCTGATGTGATCGACTCACCGTCTTCAGCTTTTGCTCCACTTTTCAGCTTTTTAAAGAGCTTCTCTGTTTTGTGGAGGAAAGAAAAGTTCTGTTCATGCAGCAGCTTCTCTGAATCTTCAGAACTGTTCTGGTGAGACTGTCCCTTCAAACGCAGCCCTGTTTTCTAAAGATCTGCTCATCTCACCACTTAGTTCTACATTTATGATGTGCAGCGCCTCAAAGTCGCTTTACAGGGTACACCATGAAAACAGGAACAAAGCCAAGCAGACAAAAAGCAGGTGTAGAAGAATCAAACGTGAAAGCCACCTTGACCAGGTGAGTTTTTCAGAGGGACCTGGATGTGTGGAGGTCAGAGCAGTGACGGAGATGGAAGGAGCTCCAGAGGGTGGAGCAGCAGCACCTAGTGAGGGTTAGGGTGTAGAGACGATGGATGGATGGACATTTTGATTTCTATCAGCTTGTTCTCAGCAGATGAAGTTTCTACAGAAGAGCCAGACGACAGGGTGAGTGTGTGGTGGGTCTGATCCACATGTGGAGGCTTCATGAGTCCAGCAGGGGGCAGCACGCCTCCTCACAGCCAGGACGTGGACACGCCTCGGCTCCTGTGAAGGGAACAAACAGCCAGGTGTTGCCAGCAGACGTTGGTGGATCACTGGTATGTAAAGGCTGAAGGCTGAACAAGTGCAGGTCAGGGAGCAGCTGAAGCTTCAGGTCAGCAGAGGAACAGGTCGCCACGTGTCTCTGTGTTAACTGTGCGCCTGTTTGTGGGTGTTTCAGACATTCACGGTGCTTCTATAAATATCTCGTGCAGCCCCTGGCATCATGCTGCCTCCTCCGTGCCTCGCTGGTCAGGAGACCTTCACTGGGCCTCCGTCCAGGGACACATGGACAATGAGTCCATTTGCTAGTTTGTCTTCTAGTTTGTGTGAAAGTGCTGCTGCTGTTGCTGGTGATGAGCAGAGCGACAGGGTGGAGGAAGTGTGTGTGTGATGCTGTGAACAGGAAGTCAGTGACAGGAAGTGGGCGTGGCCTGTGCAGAAGGCGCTCTGCGGTTTAAACTCTGTTTTCTGTAAAGCAGCGAGTCGATAAGAAGCTCTCGCTGCAGAAGTGTGTGTACAGGCTCAGACACACTGTGTGTGTGTGTGTCATCTCAGAGACACACACATCCTCTGCATTGCCTTATAAGGACACACACACACTTCACACTCTTCAAAGCCGTAAAGACTGTGACTGACAGGAACCACACTTCCTCACTTCGACTGCTTTCGACTTCACTCAGAAATCAGGTTCGACATTCAGACATTCAGACATTCAGATCTTCCTGCTGCAGCTTCAGCCTCCACACATGGCATGAGTGATTCCAAAGTGTATCCCTCACAGTAATCAGATTACTTCTAACAGCAGAGTACTGTCTCTGATA